TTTGATCAAAGAGAGACGGTTTTAAAAAATGGCTTGTGTATAATATATTGAAAGCTTTGCATAAATATTTATTTAAAAAAATATAAACTTTACTAAATAAAATCTCATTTATAATTGACTTAAAATTCATCTATTAATAGTATATATCAATTTATTATAACTTACTTACATGTTAAATTCTTTAATATTTAGATTTTTTTATAAATATATACGAATTATAAATGAGAATTAGATATACACATAGATAAAATGATGGAGATTGTCTGTAGTACATTTAATTATTTTCGACTAGGTGACTTTTGCTACGAATGATTATTTCTATTCAAAAGTCGTTGCATTTTTTTTACGAAAACGCACGTGTCTATTTTTATGCGTATCTGTGTACAAAGGACACGCTCACATTATCGTGGAGAATCATACGTCCTGCCCTGACCATGAGGTACACGAATGCAATTGTACATAGGGTGTGCACGCAGCCGTGATGTATATTGATAGACGTGTATGTGTGTATGTATACAGATGCACGAAACGCACGTGCGTGAGTGAAAGAGACCGCTCTAACACACGCTGAAGAGTTCCCACAATCAGTACACAATCTGTCTACAATCGTGTACACGGTGACCCGATTAAAAAAAAGGCCGTCGCTTTTCTCTCTCTCTCTCTCGAATATTCAATTAAGTTTCTTCAATTTTTTTATAATTTTATAATTAAGTTTTCGAATGAATTAATTTAACTAATGAATTTTACTAATTTACGAATTTAACTAATGAGTTTACGAATGAATTAAAAAATGAAAAATATAATATATTTTGTTATTTGTTTAAAATTTTAAACATAATTTTTATGACTATTAATTATTTATATAATTACAAGACTATATTTGTGTTCATTTATTTATATTTAAGAGAGTAATCATTTCCAACACATTTTTCTTTCGATGCTAATATCGAAGTATCTTTCCATACATTGTAGACAATATTAACGAAGCAAATATCTCGATATCTCGAAGAATATTACAAGCAGCACAATATATTAATCTGTCTTATTTCAAAATTCATGTTTAACTCAATTTTGAAACTTTAATAGAATTATTTAATAAGAAACTGCTCCTTCAATTTAAATCGGCCAACCCGAGTATTTTTCTTTGGTGCCACCGTGTATGCACAGGTACCAAGTGTTGCGCACGTGTGGCGTACACGCCGGCACGCACACGCGTGTGACGCCTTATACATGGCAACGTGAGGCTCAAGAGTGGCCTTTCAGTCTGTGCTGAGACCGCACACGGTATAGATCCCGCGATTTTTGCTCTCGATCATTGCGGAAAACGGAATTGTGCGCGGATCATTGCGAGGAGATTCATCTTGCGTCGCCGAAAAGAACGATCAATGATTGTGATCGTCAACAACACGACCGGCAGGAATCGATCGGTGATTTTTTCGCAAAACGAAATGATAGCTTTCATCATCGGCTTTTTTTATTTCTGTGCCGAATTACTGTGCCTGGAGTTGCAGATGATGATACGCCCGGATGAGTACAAGCTTGCCAAGTTCTTATTGTAAAAAAGTATATTATACTTGTCGAATATTGAAAGAAATGGCATCGAGGAAGGAGAAATTATTTTTTGCGAAGAAAAATTGCATCGAAGTTGGGAAAATAATTCTGCATTCGTGAGGATACAAAAACTTTCCAAATTTATATTGTGAAAGGGAAAATCTTCTGCGAAGGAAATAGTATAAAAAGGAAAGATATAATCTGATAAAAAATCGCATAGATGCGAGGATAATGTCTGAGGATACAAACTTTCTAAATTTATGTTGAAATAAGAAAATGAAATGTGACTGTTTCCGTAACAAATGTTTTTGGAAAGAAAAAATAAAATCATAAAAAATGTCAGGGAAGATAATTATTTGTATTTGGAAGGATATATGTTCCTTAGCCCCTTTCTTGCTGAGGAAAAATTCGAATACGAACTTGTCACGTGATTTATTTGGACTCGAATTTTAGTCAACTGTTTAATTTCAAAGATGGTATTGAAGGAAAAATATATAATTATACATATTCAGCCGAAAACATGTCGAGTTTTATTTTGAGGAGAAATTATTTTTGAATCATTTTAAATTTCACAGAATTCCGCGGTCTTTTTGATCATGTGTAAAGGATGTTGTCGAGGCAGGAGAGATTGAAATTTTCGACGATAATATCTGCGACGACAAAGCTTTTTCCGCACTCTGTACAATCGATACTAATTTGCATGGAACACCGTG